TGAGCCACCTTTCCTTACTTAGGCAAATGCCCTGATGTCTCAGCCACAGACTCCTGCTCTTGCCTTTGCTTCTTATTTGGCTTCAGGAACATTGTCTCCTTCAATGGCTGAGCTTTAGCTGGAGGGTATTCCTTCCCAGAATGATCCTTGTCACCTTCCAGACTGACTGTTCCTTTGCATCCTTCCCTTGCATAATAAAACAACATGTATTTTCACATTAACCTTCCTTTAAATAAACCTCTTATGCAGCACTGCCTTGAAAATTATAGTGTTTTCCGAGCTAAAAAACCCAGACCAATTTGCTCTGTGAATTCATGGTAAAGCCTTCCCTCAATTACACCCCCGCAGATTTTCAAATCAGTTTTAAACAAGACGGGGAAAAAAATTATAAGGCTACACTGCTTTCATAATTCAAATAATTTTTCACCTCCCTAATCTGGTTACAAACAGGGAGGAAGGAGAGGAACTGGAAGAAGAAGAAGGGGTTTTACATGTGTTGAACTGGAGCAAATGAAACATGGTAGAATATAACTAGTCCCTACTAAGTCTGCAGGGCACAAGGAAAACCCTGGTGTGGATCTGTGAGATTTTTTTTGGGGGGGGGGGGGGAAGGTGGGACACCACCATTGGAGTGCAACCATTGAAAGGAAGGAATTTTACCTCAAGATTGTAAATGACACTCTCCATGGCACACCGTGGCTGAAACACAGAAATATCTTCCTTTTCTGTCTCCTGCCTGGCAGTCAAGCAGTAAAACCTGCGCTGATTTATTTGGAAACATCCCCCTGCTGAAAGTGAATTACGAAGGCATGAGAGAATTTTTCAGATTACTGTTGGTAAATTCTGCATACTATCTGGAAAAATCAGTAATTCTGCAGTAATCATATAGATTATGTGTGCTGGGAAGACCACGCTCCAATGAAAACATTTTGTTGCCAGCTAGGAAGGTTATTAATTTTACTATTAGATTCAGGTCATTTCTGGAGACCAGGTGAATTTCCTGAAAATTCAAAGCAACATTGTTCCACTGGAAGGGGTAACCTCATTTTCATGTCACACCAAGTCAAACTAAGGAGAAATTCTCTGAAAACAAAGGAAACTGGAGTCCAAATGAGGACTCTACATTACTACATTAAACAAGTAAGAAAGCACTGCAATATATAAAAACCAATTGTGTCTGAATGCAGTTCTTTGTCCTAAAACAATCTGGTATTTCTCTTTGCAGCTTCTAATTCCAATGAATTTTTTACTCATATCATTACGAGCTTTACTTTTTTTTTCCTATTCCAATTAACATAAAGCTTTTTATTTCATATGATTTTAATGGCACAAGACCCACATCTATCTTTCACCACGTTTCATCACATAAAAATGGGGGATGTTCTGGCCAATGGACCCACAGGTAGTTAGTGGAGAATTTCTGTGTTTGTTCCTCCTATAAACTGCCACAGTGATGTCAGAGAGCATGATAATCACTGAAGAGTGTCAGCACCCCATGGTCCCAAATTTAGGCATGAGCAACAGAACTTCAAGAAGCAGACAAGGAGACCTGGGGAGCAGTGAATGCATACAACAAGAAACTGAAAAGAAAAACCCCAAAACCAACCAACCACAAAGCAAACACTACAAACACACTAAATGGCACATTATGAAAAAAAAAAAAATAAAAATTTAGTGGTGCTGAAGGCATAAGCCTTGTCAGAATGATTTTGGAACAACAACTTTGGTTGTTCACAGGCTCTATTATTACAAAGACCATTTCTATTTCATTTTTTTAGACATTTGTAGCTATGTTATCCTATGGAGTGAGGTGTCTCCAACACACTGCCTGCCTGACAACACACTGATCCCACCACCAGCCAAGCGGCAAGGCCAAAAATCTTGATTAGGTGCTTCAAAGCCCTCCTTTCATTACTCCCCCAGTCTGGCAGCAACCAGCCTGGAGGGCCCCCTGTCAAATTTCAGGACTGGTCATGACATCTTGCTGAGTGACTGGAACAGATGTCAGCAGGAGAGCTCGTCCCTCCCCACGGCCCCGTCACGAGCCCACAAACGCTCTCCCCGCTTGACCTCGGCACGAGCTGCGCTGGTACCACATCAGGAAGAGGAATTTCTGCACAGAAAGGATAGTTAAGCGCTGTCAGGGGCTGCCCAGGGAGGTGGTGGTGTGCCCATCCCTGGAGGTGTCCAAGGGAACGACTGGACGTGGCACTCGCTGCTCTGGGCTGGGGGACAAGGTGGGGATCAGTGACAGGGTGGACTCGATGATTGGGAAGTTCCTTTCCAATCTAAATGATTCTGTGATACACTTCAGAAGAGTAAGACCTTTTATGTGCACATGTATCCTCCACGAGATTGGAAGTGCCTTTGCCTGCAGAGCCACTGGGACCACAGGGTGAATCTCTCTCTTCCCTGAGATCTGCATTTCAGATGTCCCAGTCCAGCCAAGCCCATGCCTATTTGTGCCTCTCTCCCCCTTTGAAAGGCTCTGCCTTCCCTTCCACAGCCTTTTCTTCACCCTGTTTGTGTACAGATCACTGTCCTATTGTTCACAAAGCACTAGGAGGTGAATGGTATTACATAACTGCTAGTTACTGCTTTATCCTTTTTTTTTTAGAATGATGGAAAAGTGGAAGGGAAATGCAGGCTCCCCTTGGGGCCAGCCTAAGCAAACCAAACCTGCATCACTGGTGACCCAAATGAACATTCACCTCAGCATCCCCAGCATGGAAGAATCCATCTTAGTACCTACTGTCCCCCACAAAATGACAAGACATTAATAACTATGGCATATAGGCCCCTCTGGGGTGAGAAATCTTCTGTGTTGTAGCTCCTAGTCAAAAGACTTTACAAAAAAAAATGTTGGTTTGCTGTTCAGTTGGGTTTGTTTGGGGTTTTTTTATCTGTTTTCAATGATTTGCTATTCATTAGGCTCTACCTTGATGCTTTTGATGTGGCAAAGAGGTTTTATTCAGCTTGCTATTCATTCCAGGCCAGCTAAGATAAAATCAGTAACAGTTAGGACAGATTTCCTTCTTGTAATGGGCCTAGAATTGGCACATGTAGCCAAAACTTTGTTCCTGTTTCATATTTCCCCAGTTCTCTCTTACTCTCATACTCTTTTCTGGCAGAAATTTGCATCATTTAGTGGCTCCTGCACTGCTCTGTATCCCAAGCAAGGACTCAAGCTGCCTGCTGAGCCCAGTGAAGCTTCTTGATCCTGAAATCCACGACAGCAAAAGCAGGTTCTCGCCACTGGAAAGTGGAATTACACTCACAAAACCACAGAATAATACCCTGGGCTGGAAGGGACCCACAGAGGATCATCAAAGTCCAACTCCTGATCTCAAAACACACCATCTCAAAGCTCAGTCCACCAAAAACACCTGCTGAGCACTGTGTGCTTAAAGCTGAGCCCATGCTCAGTGCCTTGCTGCACTAACCATGTTTCTGGTCATATGATTTCGTGTTTGGCAGCAGTCTCTCTCACTAGAAAGCAAAGCCTTTACTGCCTTATAAGCCAATAGAAATTATGCATTATTTGTAAAGAAGGTATCAGAGCCGAGTTTGCCTAAACTGTGCTTGGCAGCTCTTTGGAAATACAAGCAAAAAAAAAAAATATTTTCAACCATATTTTGAGAATAATTGGGTTTTCTTTCTATTGGAAGGTTCTGTTGCATTATTAAGGAAAAACACAGCATATTCAAACTGAAGGCTGAGGAATGATTCAACACCACTGACCTTCCCCACCCCTTCCTCGCACCAGCTCCGGCACTCACTTTCCAACTCACCAATTTTACAGGAAAAGATCTACTTTGTTGTCACTGCACTGGATTTTCTGCCTGGTGAGTGAGCTCAAGCAGCTCCTGGAAGAGAAAGCAGTGCTTGCACTTCCACAAGGCCAGAACCAGTCCAGGGTGAGCAACAAAAGGGCACACAGTGGGAAGGGGAAAACTGAAAAGGAGGGAGGAAGACAAGGCCTTCCTTTCAGATTGACAATGGGCTTTTGAGATCAGCTCATCCCACTCCCCACATCCCTGATCTGTTTTCACCCACAGCAGCTTAGTGTTACTCCACTAACTGCAATAACTACAGGGATGTAATCCAGATCACTAACATCCATATCCAGGGTTCCACTGTTAAACAAGGGACTGTATGGACAACTTGCCCCTGCTCTGGGGAGCTGACAGTCCAATTCAACACAACATGCAGTTGGAAGACCAAACTCTGGATGACAAAAGTGGTCAGGAAGGTGGGGGGAGTCGTTAGAGAAAGACAAACCCAACATTTTATCCTAAAAACCTCACTGAATTGCTTGGTACTTCTTCAGGTGAGTCAGATGGATTCGATCACTGAAAGCAAATCAAATTACCTGTCTGAGCAAAAAGCTTTAAGTAAGTCTATCAGTGATCTAGATCTCAGCATGTGCAACAGGGAATTACAGCACTTCTTTGTTTCATCTTAGATTCAGCCTCCCCAAAGGGCTGATTCTGCACTTCCCCTTGCTGCAAAAACTCCCATCAAAGCAAACAGGAGCTCTGCCTGTGGAGTGCAGCTGCACGGGGCACTCTGCCTGTCAGTCTTGTTGCAGCTTCTCAGCATGTTATGGCATCGCTTCCCAACCTAAATAAACAAATAAACAAGAAACCTACACCTAAAATCAACGTGAAAGATGCTGTTTCCTATTACCAGGTTCAACGACCTTCCCCTCACCCCAGGGTTAGGGCTGAGCTCTGTGTTCACAAAAAATACAACTTGCTTGGCACTTATTTTATCAAATAAGAAGGGAAAAAAACGTGGTGCATTTGGGCATTATCATCAGGGGGCACAGTAAGGGGCAGGGAAGCAGCATTTGTGTCTGGCTGAGAGAGAATGTCAGAGCGCTGCTCTGCAAAGCTGATTTAAATTTATGGCCGAACATATATCTGAGGTACTTGCATAAATTCTAATCCCCACCGAGATTTGCTTACTTATATGAGAAAATTTGCCAGAAAACAAACCTGGAGCGTTGACAACCAAGCCTTCTCTGTCTTCTAGTCTTGCTGTGCCACTGTGTGTGGGAGAGGCATGGAACATCCTTCAGCAGTAAAACAGGAGTCTGAGGGGGGAAACAGAGGTGTCCTTCGCATGAGAAAAGGTAACACAGCTCTCTGAGTTGAAGGAGCAACTCTGTGCCAGTCTTCACCAGCAAACTGTACCACGCTGATGGAGACAATGAACGTGTCACTCGTCCTTCAGCATCGTCTGAACTGTAAAATCCACAGCGCTGAGAAGGTTTTGTTTGGAAATAGAAAGCAAAGGAGGATGTGTTCTGATGAAAGATGACACTTTCCATCCCAGTCTGAGACAAAAGCCACGCAGTGGTTATTGAAGTAGCCCGGCCATGCCACGTTCAACTCCTCAAGTGCCATCCATTCCATTCCCAGTCTGTGATAACTGAAACCAGTGAACTGTGTACACAGACGGTGTGTGGGTACAGAAAGGTGACTGACACACGAGCCAAGGTGATCTGGAGTGTACAACAAAAACAGTTTTGCAGATATTGCACTGATATTCTACTTTCTTGTTAGGTCTGTCCACTCCCTCACGCTTTTGATCTGTTGTGCACTTGGATCCAAACCAGTAACAGCAGACAGAAAAGATACTTTCAGTCTCAAAAATGTAACAAAGGCATAAAACTGTAAAA